CGTATTCTATTCTTTTTGGTGGTACTGTAAATGGGATTGTTTTCCTAATTTCCTTTTCAGTTAGTTTGTTAGTAGTTTATAAAATGCAATTGACTTTTCATGTGTTGATTTTGTTTCCTGCAACTTTACTAAATTCTTTACTTATTAATTCTAATAGTTATTTTTGTGGAGTCTTTTAAATTTTTCATTGTCAATTTTTCATGTCATCTGCATACAAGGGCAATTTTACATCTTCCTTTCCAGTTTTGGATGCCTTTTATTTCATTTACTTGCTTAAGAGTGAGGACTTCCGGTACTATGTTGAATAGAAACAGTGAGAGTGGGCATTCTTGTCTTGTTTCTCATCTTAATAGAAAAGCTTTCAGTTTTTCACCATCGGGTATTATGTTAGCTGTGGCCTTTTCATATGTGGACTTTTTTTTCCCACTCTTTTTTTTTTTTTATTTCGGCATATTATGGGGGTACAGATTTTAAGGTTTCAATAAATGCCTTTTCCCCCCCACTCCCCACAAGTCTGAGTCTCCAGCATGACCATCCCCCAGATGGTGCACATCTCACTCATTATATATGTATATACCCGCCCCCCTCCCCCTTCCCACCAGCCCAATACCCTATTACTGTAGTACCTATGTGTCCACTTAGGTGCTGCTCAGTTAATACCAGTTTGCTGGTGAGTATATGTGCTGCTTGTTTTTCTATTCTTGGGAAACTTCACTTAGTAGTATGGGTTCCAGCTCTAACCAGATAGCTTCTCTCTTTTCCTAGTTTGTTGAGGGTTTTTGTTACAAAAGGATGCTGAATTTTATCAAATGCTCTTTATGCATGTGATTGAAATGATCATGTGATTTTTATCCTTCATTCTCTTAATGTGGTGTATCACATTTATTGATTTTTGTGAGTAGCAGCTCACACCACAAGTAATCCATTATGTAAGTACAATAATGCCAGAAATGACCTTTCATTAACCATCCAACAATAAATCTCACATGGTCATGGTGTACAATCATTTTATTGTGCTGTTTAATTCAGTTTGCTAGTTATTTGTTGAAGATTTTTGTTATCTATGCTCTTCATGGATATTGGCCTATAGCTTTCATTTCTTTTGATGTCTTTGTCTCATTTTGATATCAGGGTAACACAGGCCCAAGAAATTAGTTTGTAGGTATTCCTGCCTCTTTAATTTTTTATAAGATTCTAAGAAGGATTTACCTTCATTATTCTTTAAATTGATAGAATTCACCAGTGAAGCTATCAGGTTCTGGGATTTTCTTTGATGGAAGGTTTCTGATTACTAATTCACTGTTCATGCTAGTTACAATTCCTGATTCAGCCTTGGTATATTATATTTCTCTTGGAATTCATCCATTTCTTCTAGGTAGATAATCCAGTTTGTTGATGTATGATTACTCATAGTAGTCTCTTATGATCCTCTTTACTTCTGTGATTTCAGTTGTATTAGCGTATCTTTCATTTTTAATTTTATTTATGGATACTATTGTTTAAATTAAGTATAAATTACCATATGTAGTAGTTTCTTTTGCTGATTATTTGTTTTATGCAATTATTCACTGAAACATGTAATATTCTTTTTGCTCATTCCTTCCTTTCCCCCAATCCTTTCCTTCTCAGTTTTACTCCACAGATGTTTATTGAGCGTGTGTTATGTGCATGGTACTATCGTTAGCGTTAAACATTTTAACAATATAACTTTATTGCTGCATAGTGGAGACAGCACCAAATGTGAAGTGAGAAGACTTGAGTTTCAGGTCTGGATATATTATTTGCTTGTTGTCTGACTAGTGGCTGTGACCTTTACATATGAAAAGTGAAAGATGAGATAAATTACCTTTCAAGTAGCCCTCGGCTCTAAAATTGCATGATTTACTACATATTTTAGAATGTGAGACATATTTGACTATGAATTATAAACTCAAGAGGAAGCACTTTCCCTTTGTCTTCCAAAGGAAAAAAGGATGCTATTAAAAAGCTTTGTACTGGCAGGAAATAAGTAATACTGCTTGAAATTCCTAGCACATACGTAATTGTTTTCAGGTTAACTGACATTTAGATAGATTCTCAATTTTGTTGCAATTGTAAACAATATTTATTCATGCATTTCTTGATACTTGTCTATTTCCTTAGTAATGACATTCTCGTCAAAAATTTGTGCTCTTTATAGATTTTAGCTGTATTTTGCCATATTACACTCTATGTTTAATAACTATTAATATTATATGCAGATTTACAGGAAAGATTTAATGACACAGTAAATATTTACTACATATTAAGTTAAAATATAGACCAAAGAAAATACATATAATATATAATATGATTACTTTTTGTGAAAAGGAATCTCCTTTATATGTTATGGCCCATGAGTTAGGTTAAATCTTCCCATATTCAGGAAAGGTGTGTCTTTTCTTGACGGAAACATACATTCAAGTTTAGTTCATGATTACAGTTAAAAATAAATAATACAAATTTAAGCTAGAAATATTGAATTATCCATTTAAAAATAGGATTGATTAAAAATTAAAATTATTATAAAATACACTAATCTTAGACAAAAGGCTGAGAAGTGATGACTGTAAAATATATTTTAAAAAATGATAATATTTCTCCAGATTTTGCCATACTTTTAAATTACAATTGACAAGAGAATCTTGAAATATCACTTTTTATTGTGATCTACTAGTAGCAGCTCACACCACAAGTAATTCAAGTACAGTAATACCAGAAAGGGCCTACACTTTTTCAGTGAGGTAAAGGAAATGATCATGTGATTGAACTTCACAGAGAAGTCAAATTTCTACATCTTTTTAATACATGCTGAGTCTGAATTTCTGTTGCTGTCATGGACTAGTAAACGCAGCTGTGGAGCATCACCAGTCCTTGGGCCCTGCTGAGTGTAACTGCCCTAGGGAGCATGCCAGCTTATGCACTCAGCCATCGGGTTTTTACACTTGCTTTGAATCAGTCATTATTTAACACGTCATGGACATGTTGTCAGGGCGTTCCACCAAAACCCGCCTGTTTTGCTTATCCCGCTCCTAAATTGAGCAGCTACTAATACTCACAGCTGATGAGGTGATTCTGGGTCATACTTCTGATTGGTTGGCTACCATGTAAATGAAGTAACTTTGGGGACATACTTCTGATTGGCTGACTACTATGTAAATGAAGTAACTTTGGGGACATACTTCTGATTGGCTGACTACTATGTAAATGAAGTAACTTTTGGGTCATACTTCTGATTGGCTGACTACTATGTAAATGAGGTGACTTTTGTGAAAACTTGCCATTGGCTAACTGTAACCCCCAAAAAGGTATAAATAAAACTAAAAGAAAACGAAAAAAGGGGCGCTCGGAGTTTGGTGGCAGATGTGCCTCTCTGAGCCCGCCGGCGAAATAAAGCTGACTCCAACTCTCCACGGGCCGCTCCGGTTTTTCTTCAGCCAAGAGCTGTTCACACCTGCTGGAACAATGTGAGTAAATATCAAAAGAGAATTTGTATCCATAGAGCTCATATCTTGTGTGGATGTCAGGCCATAATCAAATAAATACAGTAGTGAATGTTAAGGATGCATCATGCTGTAAAGAAAGTGAAGCAAAGTAAATGACCAGAGAGGGCTGGGAGCAGTAGGTCCTACTTTAGGTAGACTTGCCAAGGACGCTGGCAAGTTTTAAACAAAGATCCGAATGAAATGAGTGAGCAGGCCACATGAAAAGCTGGAGAAAGATTTGTCAAGCACATGGAACAGCAGGTGCAGACACACTAAATCAGATAAAAAGCTTGACAGTTTTTGAAGAATAGGAAAAAACCATCATGGTTAGAGTAGAATAAGTGAGGTGAGGAAATGTAGGCGATGGGGTTAGAGAGACAGGCAGAGAAAGATTATGTAGGGAGGTGTGGGCCACAGAAAGAAGTTTGGATTTTCTTTTGAGTGTGATAAGGAACTAGAAATTGAGTGGTGATGGGATCGATTATGCTTTCACAAGAACTCTTTTCCTGCGGTGTGGAAAATAGATTATAGTGGAGCAAGAGTGGAGTGAGGGAGTCAGTCAGAAATAGTGCAGATGTCTAGGAGAAATGAGATCATTGTCTCTGCTGAAGTAAAGATAAAGGCATGAGAAGTGCTAAGATTTGGGATATGTATTGAGGGTTTAGCTGACAGAATGTGGTGATGGAGCAAATATATGCTATAAAAGGAAGACTTGTACCTTTTAAGGTTTTAACAAGAACAAAAAGATGAATCACATTACCATTTGCTAAGATGAAGAATACAGGGCTAGGAAGGTTTGCAAGTGAAATCAAGAGTGATATTACAGTGTCACAAAGTATAGACATCTGGGGCCATCTAAAACATAATCCAGGCCGGGCGAGGTGGCTCACGCCTGTAATCCTAGCACTCTGGGAGGCCGAGGCAGGCGGATTGCTCAAGGTCGGGAGTTCGAAACCAGCCTGAGCGAGACCTCGTCTCTACCAAAAATAGAAATAAATTAATTGACCAACTAAAAATATATATACAAAAAATTAGCTGGGCATGGTGGCGCATGCCTGTAGTCCCAGCTACTCGGGAGGCTGAAGCAGTAGGATCGCTGAGCCCCGGAGATTGAGGTTGCTGTGAGCCAGGCTGACGCCACAGCACTCACTCTAGCCTGGGCAACAAAGTGAGACTCTGTCTCAAAAAAAAAAAAAAAAAAAAAGAATACTGTAAGTAGGAGGTAGTTTACTAGAGAATCTATAGTGTTTGATTATCTGTAATTTTTTCACTATGCTTTTCCCTCTAAAAACATTTATCCAGCATGTGCATTTTAAAATCTTAATACGAAAATACTAACCAATTAAATGTAAAAGAATAGTGCTTAAAATTTCATTGTGGCGGGATATCAAAACCAGTAGTGCCGAATATCCTCAGGTTTCTCATTTTAAAATGTTCTGAACCCTATTCCAATTTTTTTCTTAAGAAAACAAAGTGATTACTCATATAAGAAGAAAGTAGGCTTGCCATTCTTCCCAGTTTTAATTTTTAAGATAAGAACATCTGGAAGCAGCAAATAAGGATAAAATATGTATTGCCTCACTATAAGACCACTTAGGCCTCTTTTGCATCCATTCCATATTTTGTTAGTGATCATCATCAGGCCACTGTTAGGCTTTTGCAAAGCTCTTGTTTCTCCTCGACAGGGTCACACTCGTGACTCGATATTCGTTAATGGTGTACAGGAAGAATATAAGACAGAAAATCACAATAACTACTGAAACTGTAGCCAGAAGTATGATGGACATTATCTTCTCCTGCGTCCCCATTAACACGCATAAATAAGGCCCATGACACAAGTAGGTACTGCACCAAATAGGTTTCGTAATCAGTGGTCGGTGACTGTGAAAAAGGATGACCAAAAAGATCACCTGCACAGACATCTGTACCAGGAAGTAGACAAGATACATCGCCAACAGGGGCTTTTCCTCGGATAAGTCAAAAGTCACTTCTTTTTCTTTCTTTGTACAGTCTATATCAATGACAGTGTTGCTGGACTCTTTTTCTTCTAAAGATGCCACCCTAAACGCCTTGGTTAGGTTGTGTACATTCCGAGAGACAGCAAACTCCATCACAAAAAAGATGGAGGAAAAGACAAAGCCCACGAAATACCAAACTCCCAGAACAGGACTAGTGAAGTGGCTCTCATAGCACTCTGCTAGACAGGCGTCGGAGATGTTCCCGTGGCACTGGAAGTCTTCTGCCATGTCAAGCCAGGAGATTTGCACCACATACACAACTGAAACGTAAAGAAAAGTGACGCTGACCCACATCGCTCGCCCTGTATAGAGTGTTGTAGGGTCTCTGCTCATCTTCAGTATGGCAGGTGTCGCACCCCAAAATTTCCATTTGTCAGCCATCTTGGAACCTAGAAAGACAAAAGCAGAGTAGCATATGGAAGAAAGCATGACTGGATTTGCCCTTTTATACAGGCTCTGCTGTTCTCTTCAGTCTCTCTGTGAGGGTACTCAGCTGTCTCAGGTGAGAGAATTCCAAATGAAGTTTAGGAGAGAAATACACCATTTTATAATACGTCTTATGGTTCTGTCATTTACTAACTCTGTCTTCTAATTTTCTCTTATCAGCCTCTCTCTTCCCCACCTGATTTTATTTTCCAACTTGCTCACACAGTTTATTTATTAAACATTCTGAATAGCTATCTATCCTGTTTTCACTCCTCACAGATTCTCAGTGTCATTTACTTATTTTTCTAAGTTATGTACCAACCTGTGCCAATTAACCCCTTCCAGCAAACGGTACAGTTCCAACTGCCATAGAACTCCCACGGGCACTTGGATGTAAGTGCTTACAGGGGAGTCTTTACCACTTCTTTATGAAAAGTAAATGTTTGAGATGGGTTAGCTGAACTAACTGGTATCATTTTAGGCTCTTCCTAAAGCCAACATTTCCAAAGGCCATCACCAGTGTCAGAACCTCTTTCTGGTTAACCAATCAGGATGGATGCATCAATATAAAATGATTGCTTTCTACTGGGAGAACAGCTTAAATTTCTTATTTGTTTTACACCCTGCTGCTCATTTGAAATTTTCAGTGATTCACAGGTATTTTGAGCATCAAACACAGTGCTGGGTGTAGAAACATGAGGCAGTTCTTGTCTTCAATTACAGATCTGATAGTATGAAGAGTACTTTCTATCCCCAACATGTTTATTATGAGCTCTGTGGCTTCCGTGATTCATTTTTCCTTCTATGAACTAGAAAGAAGTCATTAGTAAAATTTATTACTAAAATACTCTGGTAGTCCAGCCCTTGCTACTAAGGTGGCTGAGGTTTATTGGGCCTGCATCGCAGTGTGGATTCTCCCTCCATCCCATTCTGTTCTCTCATCAACTCCTACTCTGCTTCCTTTCAAAGGTATTAATTCCAAATATGCATTTTGCATCCCAAACTCTCTTTCAGCATCTGCTTCAGAAAAACCCAACCAGCAACACCCCTCTTCAGATCTGTGGATGCCAGCGGTGGTGGGGGCAAGCCACAGCCTCAGACAGCAGACTTCTCCTTCACCTTTGGGCTCACAATTACTGGGAAGCCAGTCATTTTCTAGAATTCACTATGCTTAAATATTGCCCTGGAGCCCTCAGCAAATAAACTCTCATTAAGTAGAAAGAAATGACAGGCTTGCATCGACTATCTCTGTGAGGATTTCTACAGAGCCTGAAGGCTTATCAGCTAGGTCAAGACCTGCTGGACTAGTGGTTCTAGCTGCTGCTCAACTTAGGAGAGGGGTATACATTGAAATTAAACTTGGGGTGGAGGGGGAGAGCATACATTCAGAGTGAAATATTCCCAGCATGCCCACCTAATGTTTTAGGCTATTAAATTTATTTTTCTAGCTTCTTGAGTAAAATTTTTATTACACTTTGAACTTATTTTTGAAATGTACAAAAAGTACACAAGTCACATTCTTCATTTCTGTAAATTTCATAGACTCAATGAACTTATGTAATTGTCATCCAGATCAAGGAAAAAGTATTGCCAAAATCCCCAAACCCCAACTTGTACATTCTTTCAGTTACCATCCCCCATCTCTTAACCAATAGTTGGACACCCAGCAATATAGTTTGTCTGCTTTGGAAATGCATGTAATTAGAATTGTAAAAGATATAATCTTTCATGTTTGGATTTTAAAATGTTATATATTTTTTGTAAGAACATCTATTGTATTGTTGATTGTAGTTGTATTTCTTTCATTCTCATTACTATACAGCATTCCATTGTGTGAATATACCACATTTTATGTATTCATTTTTGCTGGTGGTTTCTAGTTTGGAGCTATTATGAATAGAACTGTTATCACTATTTTGTACATGTCTTTTGATATATTTTTTATACTCCCACAAGCATGAGAGATCTGTTTGCTCCACATCCTCAACAACACTTGGGATTCTCAGGTATTTTTTGTTTTATCTATTATGGTAGGGATGTAGCTGTATCACATTATGGGTCTGATGTGCACTTCTTTGATAATTAATGACATTGAGCAATTATCAAATGCTCATTGGCCATTTGAAAAGAATCTTTTGTGAAACATTGTGCAAGTTTTTGCCTATTTTTCTATTAAATTATCCTTTCCTCATTTAATTTTAGAAATCCTCTCTATATTCTGAATGTAGCTACATAGATATGTGAATTGCAGATATCTTCTCCCATTCTGCGGGATGCTTTTCCACTCTCTTAACAGTGTCTTTTAATGAACAGAAGGTCTTAATCTTAATATTGTTGAAACTTGTGCTATTTCCTAATGGGGTTTTTTTTGTGCTATTTAAGGAAACTACCTATTCCAACATCATGAAGATGTTCTTCTATGTTTTCTTCTGAAAAGTTTATTGCTTTACCTTGTTTATACTTTGTAACAAGGTGTAACACAGTAAAATTCACCCTTTTTAGTATATAGTTCTGCAAATGTTGACAAAACCATACTGTTGTGTAACCATCACCATAATCAATATATTAGAGCAGTTTAATCACAATGAAAAATTCCCCTGTGACCCTTTGTTACCAACTGCTCCTCTGCCAAGCCCTGTGCTTTCTGTCCTTATAGTTTTGTCTTTTCCTCAATGTCATGTAAGTGGGTTCCTACAGTATGTAACCTTTAGTGTTCTGTTTCTTTCTCTTAGCATAATGCATTTGAGATTCATCCACATTGTAAAATCACCTACTTGTTTCCCTTAAATAAGAGACACCTCAATGTACTAAAGACTAATCAGCCCATGATCAAAATTAATTGTGGTGTTATGCATTTGGTATTTTAATTTTGGAGGATGCTGTGATCCAACATAGCCATTAAGGCCTTAACACATGCAACTTGTAGCTGAGCTTAAATTTAATATTTTTGGCCAATACCATAAACTATAAGATATTAATTCATGCTCAATGGACATATAAAAGTTTAACCACATACATGTACCTGTAATTTTTACCATGTGTTGCCAACTCCACAAACCCTTCCACTCCTCATAAACCTACTTTAACATGCATACATACATTTGTATGTTTTGTTTTTGCCAAACCTTCAAAACAAAAAATCTTAACTAGTTGTAATAAGGCTTGAATCAATGACAACAGTTGCTGTGTTAACCAAATTTAATTACAAATTTCTCTAAAACTAAGCTCTAGCCCAACGTCTAATTAAAGGATTTCCAAAACAATTTTTAAAATCCTTTAAAAATTAGGCTTCATGGACTAGAGCTCTTTTTTTAACCCTTCAATAGTTTAATAAAAATCTTCCTAGTGCCTAGATGAGTTTATAGAACTCCATAAACATAAAGGTTTGGTTGTAGTCTTTTTATCAATTTTTAGTATAATAGCACATACAAGTATCGACACCTCAGTGAGAATGAATGCCTTCAGGATGAACAAAAATCAAAAGAAGCAGGCTTTAAGCACACAAACTAGTAGCTCATAATGCCTTGCTCAATCATACCCCTACAGAAAACAGTAGCAATAAAAATTAAGACATAAACAAAAATTTGACTAAATTATATTAACCTTTTTAGGATTGGTAAATCCTAAACTTGGTAAACTTTTAACCCAAATTAATAAAATTCAGCATAAGCTTTGTTTAAAATCATTAATAAGTAAAGTTAAACTTTAAGCTGTAAAAAGCTACAGCTAAAATAAAAAATAAGCTACAAAAGTGACTTTAATATATTCTGAGTCCATGATGGCTAAGACCCAAGGTTGGGTTAGATACCCCACTATGCTTATCCATACACTTAAATAACTAAGTGAAGCTATTTGCCAAAATACTATCAGCAATAGCCTGAAACTCACAGGGCTTAATGGTGCTTTGTATCGCTGTGAAGGAATCTCTTTTATAATCTATAAACCCCAGTACACCTCATCATCTCTTGCTAATTCAGCCTATGTACCTCCATCTTTAGCAAACCCAAAAAAAGTATTAGATTGAAGTAAGCACAAATATTTTCATAAAAACATTAGATCAAAGTGTAGCTTTATGAGATGGAATAAAATGGGCTACCTACACTTTCTAATTTGAGAATGCTTATATTTCCACAAAAGCCTTTATGAAATTAAAGACTAAAGGAGGACATAGTAGCAAATTAAGAATAAAGATCTTAGTGAATTAGACCATAAAGCATGCATGCATCACCTGTCACCCTCCTTAAATATTTTAATAATCTTAAATATATAATCAAATCATATGTACATATATAGGATGAAGTAAGAATATTGCAAAGTGTGCTTAGACAAACCAATGTATAGCTTAACCTAAAACACCAGGCTTTTATACCCAAGAGATTTTATATTAAATGATCACTTTGAACCAAAGTTAGCCTAAACTAACAAAAGTTAATAATTATGCTTAAGATAAAACATTTGTTCATAATTAAAAGCATAGGAGATTGAAATTTCTTTAGGCACTATCAAGAAATATCTTAGGGGAATAATGAATGAATTATTAAAAATACAAAATAGCAAAGTTAACCCCCTTTACCTTTTGCATAATGAATTAGCTGTAACATTTTCCCAAAGAGAACTGTAGCTAAAAAATCTCAAAATCAAACAAGGTACTCACAAACAGTTTTAGTGTAAGTATTTGTCTCTGTAGCAAGCAGTGAGAAGATCTCTAAGTAGAGATGAGAAGCCATTTGAGCCTGGTGTTACCTGGTTATCCAGAACTGAATTTTAGTTCAGCTTTAAATTTACCTAAAGAATTATTAATCCCAATATAAATGTTAATGTTAATATAAAAAGGAATGATTCTTTAGAGGCAGGAAACAACCTTCCCTAGAGAGTAAACAAATAAATCTTCATCGTTGGTATAGGGCTAGAGGGAATGTCCCCTCTCCTTCTGAAAGTTTGAGCCTGCTAGAATGAACTGTCAACAGACAGACTGACAGGAGAAATGTCAGACAAATGTACTAATGTGCATAAACATGGGGCCACACAAAATATGAGACTCAAAGAAGGGCCAGCTGGTTGAAGCTTAAATAGCAGCCTCTTCATATAGGAAGGGGTGATGAGGGACTGTAGGCAATTTGAGGGGCAGAAAATAGATTTTAGGAAAATCGAATGGGCCCAATGAGCAGAAAACATCTTGTGAATGATTCTCTTTGGAAACTGAATGGGACCAGAGAACAGACAATATCTTGTGATTAAAGACTCCATTCAGGTGTGGTTACTTTCCTCGGTCTTCTACTTGTGACAGATGATGACATTTCAGGGAGGGGATGGAAGATAATTGTGTTCTCTTTAGAGGGTCCAGTCTTAAGGCAAGGAATTTCAGAGAAATTCTTAAGGGAATTTCAGAGAAAAATTCCA